TACGATCATGACTCATATGATCTGTTGCACCAGAATCAATAATCCAATGTGAATTACTGGAAGATAAGAGATAAAATTTACCTGCCACCATAGCTGCAATCTTAGACTTTTCATCATCATTCTTCTTGTCATCAAGAAGTGAAATCAAATGATTATAGTGCTCAACCATGATAGTGGCATTGCTAGCATTATCATTCTGGATCATATCAGGTTGATAATCTCCATCATCAAATTCTCTTTGAACAACTACTGCTACCGCTTTTCCCTTTCAGTTATCCTTGAAATGAGCACAACAAAAAACTAAGGTTTTTGCGACCGTCTCAAACAGTCGCTGAAAATAATTGCGACCGTTGACGGTCGTTATTCTCTTGGTCGCAAAAGAACATAATTACGACCACATATCAATCGCAGATTAATTTCGATCGTTTTTATAAATTTCAACGACCGTGTGTTAAACGGTCGCAACTAATATTAATTGCAACCGTTATTCAAAACGACCCCAAATCCGTAAAATAGCGACGGCCTAAAGCGGTTGCTAAAAACTTTTAAAAAATTAAAAAAAAATGCACCCAGTGGCCAGTGTTGCAGTACTGCATGTATGACCATTTCCAACCCAACAACTCCACCCACCACCACTTCCCAAACTTCTCCACCCGCCACGACTTCTAACCACCGCCGCCTACACCCTTAAAACCCTCTACCCACCATCGCCGCCTACACCCTTAAAACAACCCTTAAACCCAAAACCGAAAATAAACAAAAACAAACAAATTTTTTAGAAAAATCAACATACATTTCCCAATATATCTTCCTATTTGGGTTTATATGGTCAAATTCGACCATGAAACTCCAGATTTGGAATTTTTATGGTCGAATTTGACATAAACACCAAACTTTGTGTGTTTTTCTTTACGGTGGGCTTGCTTGTGACGGTGGCTACTAAATTTGTTCATGGAAAAGAAAGGAGATGTGAGAGAATGAAAGAGATGAAAGAGAAGGAGATGAGGTTCGTAAGAAGAGGAATAAGGAGAGAGAAAGAGAGAGGAGGGGCTTGAGAAACAAGGAGATGAAGGAAAGAGAAGAGAGAAAGAGAAGAGTGTAAGAAACGGCTATAAAGTATCAACAACATAATTAGGGTTAGGGTGGGTTGGGCACTGACCTTTTATACCCTATATTGTGTAAAAAAAAATTTCCCTATTACGACCATTAGAAACAGTCGCAAATTGTGATATTTGCGATCGTTATAAAAAACGGTCGTAATCCGCAACTGCTTATAACGATCGTAATAAAGTTATTTTTTAAGAATTATTTTAGACATGCTTTTTTTTTTAAATAATAATGGTTCAAATACCTTATGACCGTTTATTTGGTAAAAAATGGTCGCAAATTTGCGACTGCTTTTAAAAACGGTCGTAATGTTGCGACCGTCTTAAAATTGATCGCAGATTTCAAAATCTGCGACCGTTTTATTGACGGTCATAAATAAATAGTCGCAATTTGACCGAATTCTAGTAGTACAGTGGAGTTGGATAACCATTCACCTTCCAGCATCTCTCAATGTAATGTCTAGGAATCTTGTAGTGCTCATAGAAATACCGAGAAGGTCTTATACTGAGAATACTGTTGAGAACAGCTACCTCTAGCAACGGTTGAACTTCAAAAATTAGTCTAATAAGACGTATCAAATCTGTTTCTCCACTTTTTGCTCTGATCATAGAACCTTCTTTTGTTTGTTGCTGCAAAGGCCATTGCATCTTCAGTAGATGAATGATTATTGTACACCTCTCTTTGTCTTTCTTCTTGCATCAACAATATGTAAGCATGTGAAATAGTAGGCAGAGGATAGATCATCAAGATATTAACTCTGACTTGATTGTCTTCCCTGAGCTTCATAAGAAACTGAGTTACCTCTGATCTTCTTGTGATTTCAGGAATTTCCTAGTGACATTACAAGTGCAATTCGAGCAATTACAGAATGGAATAGGATCATTAGCATCTTATTCATCCCATAGCATCTTGATCTTGGTGTAGACAGTAGAAATGCTCTCAGCCCCTCCTTGTTGAATCTTAGCAAGTTGTTGTATAACATACAACTGAGTTCCAGATGTCTAACCAATCCATTCCTCCAAATTGATCCAGATCTCTCTTGCAATATCAAAATACAAAATACTTCGTGCAATTGTCACATCAAGTGCTTGTATAAACTAAGAAATTAGTGTACTATTACACCTATGCCAAGCCTTGAAAATCGCGAAATCACTGTTGGTTTGATGATTGATCCATCTATGAATCCTAGTTTGTTCTTAGCTCACAAAGCTATCATCACAGACCTCTCCCAATCATCGTAACTACTACCATTAAACTTCTCAGAAACTAATTTGTATCGTGAATCACTAGGATGCAAATAGTAAGGTGAAACCAGATCAGTTGAAGGATCATTGAGAGATTGATTTTGTGATTCCATTTAGCATATTCAAGAATTCAAGAATTCAATTCACAAATCCGCAACAAAATATTCCAAAACTCAATCAAATACAATCAAAACAACTCAATCTAAACGATGAAGAAATCGCAACAGAATTAGAATTTCATTCAAAAAATTATATCAGCAGAATCAGATTTTCTTCAAGCAAAAATGTGGATCGATTATGCTAGCTTTGATACTATGTCGCAAAGACAGATTTGAAGAATATTGAAAGGAAATCTGACTTTGTATTTTGTTATTGAAGAAAATGAAAAATAGATTTCTAGAAAGAAAAACACATCATGCAAAACTTGTGTTTGTTTATTATAAAAGCTTAAAATAAAAGGAAGCTAATAATAGCTATTTATACTAGATTTAATTACAAGAGAATGATGTAATAAATCTTTAGAAGCATCTAGAATTTTATAAATTCTTAAATGAACCTGGTTCACACTAATTTATTGTGGAATACTAACATTAGGAAAATTATGGTTGTTTTATTAGAAAAAAAAGGGGTCACTATAATAGAAAAAAAGGTCTCTACGTTGAAATAAAAGTCATTTTGGTAATATATAGGCTATAAGAGGTTAATTTTTATAATGAAATATTTTATATACCGGTTAATATGAATAATAAAGGTCACTATGTTAAAATTAGAGTCATATAATAAAGGTTATTATGTTAAAAATAAGGTTACTATGTAAAACTAAGGATCACTATGTTTAATATAATGTCAGTTGTGTGTATAAATCTCGGGTCCACAATAACATTATTGTAGACCAGGTCCACGCAAGTCTTTCTGCTGGAACTTTGGCTGAGCTGGAAGTTTGTTGTAACAAACTATGCTGACTTGGCAATTCGATTATAACAACCTTTTGGCTGCTTGCAAGTTGTTGTAACTTGATCACTCTTCAATGCAGCTTGTATATTTATCAATATTTACGCATTTCGGTATTTGTTTTAGCTTAGAGAGTTACAAACTTACAAAGAAAAAATGTACGAAGTATGTTTTAGACGAGAGTAGATAACAAAGCTTTCATAATATAGAATGATATCTTTAGTCTCCAACAATTGATTTTTCGTGAACTTCAAGAGCTGTAAAAGTCTGCTTAGCCAATTGCACTATATATGTCAAAAATCTTTATATCATTCTTACGGTGCACCGAGCACAGCAACTTTGTTTCTAGCAAACGATCCTAAAACCAATCAATCAATAAAACAAAAGTGGATACAACTCACCAATCAAATTGATCACGTGATTAATATTGACTTGATATCCTTAAAAAATTGAGCCATCCCGGTCCCAAATTAAGTGCCCCGTTTGATTTTAGGCAAAAGTTTTACATAACCAAATGTATGGTAATTTACTGTGTAGCCGGAAGCACAATCGAAAGAAACATGGGTAACTTTGGGTAATTTATGGTTTGTTTTGTGAGAATTAAAGTAACTGAGTACTCCCTTCGTTTCATATCGTTAGTGTCATATGGAATCAATCACATAAAATAAGAAATAAATATATTTGGAATGTAACATTAAACTACAACATAATTCATAATTAGTTTACCTTATTTAATTTTTTTTAATAGGAAAGCACAAGTCATAATTGTATAATTTAAAGTAAATTATTCCTTATTTAGAGTTATATAATCAATCCACAACTTATTAATTAAAAAAAAATCAGGTTATATATGAAATATATTCAATATGGGTATATATTTTTGAAACGCCCCAAAATAGTATATGAGACTAACATTATGAAACGGAGAGAGTAGTGATAGTTTAATGGTAAATTTATAAAAATAAAAATAACTAGGTAGTACGAGTAGTTTTTATGAGATTAAGGGCCTGTTTTAATTTATTCAGATTATTTTCAATTCTATTCAGTTCAGCTCCAATAAGTTCAATTCAGTTTAGTTTAGTTCAATTCAGTTCAGTTTAGTTTTTAACTTCCTTCTCTCATAAAATATTCAGTTCAGTTTAGGTCTAATAAGTCAGTGAGTTTAGTTCATCTCACTTTAGTTTATCAAGACAGGCCCTAAGAGTAACTTTTATCTTAATATTAATAACTTTTGTATACAATAATTATATGTACATTAAATTTACCGTAAACCCGATATATGCAAAACTTCTATTGACTTTATACAATATAGGACATATATATGGCAATCATGTATCAATACATATCAATTATTAAATTGTATTGTGTCAAAAATACACATCAAAAAGAATAATTTCAAGAATGCGTTTGATAATATTCAGATGTGAAATTTATTAGTAACCAATCTTATGTGTAGTTGGCCACATCATATGGCCACTTATAAAAGAACAAAGTAACTCTTATAAGACTGATTGAGTAACCCTTGTAACACTGATTGAGTAAACCCTGTAATACTAACTGAGTAACTCTTGTAACATTGACCTATTAACCCTATAACACTGACGAGATAACCCCTTGATTAAGTAACTCCTATTATATTAACGAAGTAACCCCTATAATGGCTAGCCAAACGGTATAGTCAGACACATATAAGAATTTGTGCAAAAAATAGCTTATTTTTGTGTATTAAGTAAAAGGAAACAGAGAAAATACACTTTAGTGTAGGAGGGATTGAGGGAATATTAATTGCAACTAATATTTAATGTCGAACAAATAATATTCCAAAATTATGGGTACTATACATGACAGAGAACGGAGGTAGTGTGATATAATTGACATTATCATAGGTTTCTATTTTTTCCTTTTGTCAAAAGCACTACCAAATACTTAAAGTTTCTTTCTTTTATACTTGTACTTCTATTGGTAGTTTGTTAAAGTTCCACTTCCACCCAATATAAAGTTGAAACTGTATAAGTCTAAACAAAAAAAAAAAAAATTTTAATAAACTTTATGTAGTACAAATACTAGAAATTGTAGAAGTTATTCTTCTCCATCTTCTCGTAATTTTATTGGCGCAATAATATGGCAATGGAGGGTGTTATAATTGGCCTTAGCCACCCTCTTTTGGAGTATGAGAATGAATGGGATGTAAACCACAAGCATTCAACAAATGAAGGCGACTCCTCTTTCTTCAAAGCTTTCTTCAATGGCCTAAACGCCCTTTCAGGTTATTTCACTTTCACTTCTTGTTAGGTTTTTACAGACTACTTGTTCTAAAAAAAAAAGTTTTTACAGACTACTTAATAAGCACACCCTCTTGTTAGAATATAAACACGCGGGTACCCATAAATGTATATTTCATTTAAACAAAAAAAAAAGGGTATCTCAAACGGTTAGAGTTTTCCTCCCAATTCCAGGTGATCATGGGATCGATGCTCATCACTCGTCCTTGTGGCTCTCTTAACACAAAAAAAAAAAAAAAAAAAAAAAAAAAAAAAAAAAAATATATATATTAAAACAAAAAATGATTATGCAATTAAGCATGTCTCTTTTACTAGGGTATAATGTTCGTTGAATTATTAGTAGCCCTCACTGTATCAGTTTTAGGAGTACTGTATATAAACTGTTTTAGGAGACAATAAAATTTTCGTTTCATTCATTTGAGTGCATTTAAAGATTAACTCTTGTAATTCTACTTATCCAAAGTATCAAACATAGGAATTATGAAATAAGTACTCATTATTAGCAGAAGAACAAACAAATGCATGATAAACTGAGGGTTTTCTCAATTAGTTAGAGTTTCTCTCTCAGTCTAGATAGTTTTGGAATCGATCTCATCACTTATTTTTGTGGTTAGCTCGTTAAACAATAACAACAACAAAAATAAAAAAAAATAAATAAATAACACAAAAAATTGTTAGTTAATAAAATGATATGATAAATAAAAAAAAAAAATCAAAAACTAAATAACTTTATTATAGTGAGAGTAAAGAACAAAAATCTAGGAGAGGGAGATGGGATTCCCTGCTTATCCAAGCTAGTTTTGGGACGATAATATCTAAATTTTTCGGGTCCAGTAACATACTTAAAGTCAATACTGAAAACTTTATAGTGAATGGTAAAAATTTTGCTTCATAATTTAATAAATTATTATGTCATTAACATGATATATACACTAATATAAATGAAACATATTCTACATTATTACACAATGTATAAAATATGGAGAGAACAAATAGATTCATAAAGGTCATATTTTGAGGTAATTATATGATACTACAATTAAACACAAAGTTAGGAGTTGGACCACTGTGGGTTGGGCGAAGGCCCCAGTCTTCATGGGAGCTAAAGCGGAGGGGACAGGCTGGTTTCACAAAGTAACAAAAGCCTCCTGCTCCTGCCCGGGCGTGCAAGGACCATAAGCACCTAGTTTGCTAAGATCTTAATTTTAGGAGGGGTTTCCCAAAAAATTCCCTCTCCTACTTCTAGGGCTGTTCATAGATCCAAGATCGAACCGGACCGACGATCGAAAATTAGAATTTTAAGAACCAAAGACTAGACCGATTAAGCTAGGACCAAACCTAAACCGAATCAAAAGAATCGGTCCAAAACCCGAACCTGACCGCTTTGGACCGATTTAAGATTTTTTTAAAAAAAGAATTCTAATTTTTAATAATTATATGGAAAACTCGAAAAAAGCAAAGAAAAGTTTACACTTTAACATTTTTTTTTGTACTCATAAATTTAAAATTTTCTAAGCTTATTAAGAATAGTTTTAACCATTATTTAAGGTCACTCATATTTTTAATTAAAACAACGATATGGTCCAAAACCGGTTTTTATAGGGTATTGAACCAGACCGGACTGAAGAATACATTTCTAGACACCGGACTGATTAATCTGGTGCGGGGTCGGTTCGGTCCTTTTTTTTCGGTCCAGAATGGTTTATGAACACCTCTACATAGGTTTTTTTTTTTTTTTTTTTTTTTTTTTTTTTTTTTTTTTTGTTAGATAAAAAAAAACAGTTTAAATAGTACTTAGACTATTCAATGGTTATGCTACCTTTAGATCGTATTATATGCAACTTTGGGGTATTGTTTGTGAGATATAAAAAATTCCAAAGTTACATATATTACGATCCGGAGGTAGTACTAAATTTTGTAGCCACTGTAATTGTTTTAAATCTAAACTCTTAAATTTTATATAAGTAATCTCAATCATTTATTTACATGATCAAGAGAAGTGAAACAAATAAGAAACTGAAATAATAATCATCACTTTCATATATTTTCCTACTACTGTTTTGATCTGACTTGGTGCAAACGTGCTACTATTAGAAACCATACTCTAGAACTAATTATTAACTTGATTCAATGGAATAAAAGTTGACTTTATTTCTTTTTTGAATTAAACTTTTCTATGGAGTATTATTTAACAAATGGTAATTCATCGGATTAAATAATAAATGTTTGAAACTTTATTAAGAAAAAAAATCTAGTTTCTTTGGTGCTAGATTGTCTACTTTTGGTTAAAAAAACAATTTTAATTTTTTTTTCTTCATCTTATTTTATGAATGTATCAGGGGTTGGAATTCTATCAGTACCATATGCTCTAGCATCAGGTGGCTGGTTAAGTCTGATACTGATCTTCATTGTCGCGACAGCAGCATTCTACACGGATTTGCTTATAAAACGATGTATGGAAGCTGATTCAAGCATAAGAACATACCCTGATATAGGGGAGCGTGCATTTGGGAAGATTGGAAGAACAATAACATCAGTATTTATGTGCACAGAGTTATACTTAGTTGTTACAGGTTTCCTAATCTTAGAAGGCGACAATCTGCATAACCATTTTCCTGGTCTGAAATTGGAAACTTCTTGGCTGCAACTTGGAGGAAGAGAGAGTTTTGTGCTGCTTATTGCCCTTATCATTCTTCCCTCAGTTTGGTTGGATAATCTTAGTATTCTTTCGTACATCTCTGCTACTGGTGTCCTCGCTTCTGTTGTGATTATTGCGTCGATTTTACATGTTGGAACATTTGATGGGATAGGATTTCACAGTAAGGGTGATGTACTAAATTGGTCAGGCATTCCTACTTCAGTTAGCTTGTATGGCTTCTGCTATTGCGCACATCCTGTTTTTCCTACCTTGTACAACTCAATGCAGAAAAAACATCAGTTTTCTAAGGTAAACTTTCAGTTAACTCTCTTTATCATTTACTTCAAACTTAGGAATTAGGATTGTCCTTAGAGATGGTAGTCGTCGATTATTTCTATATAGTTGCTTACACACTTGATTCTTGTAAAATAAAAAAAATAAAAAATAAATCTTAATAAAGCCTATTTGATTGAAATCTAGCAATACTCATAAACAAGCAAGTAATGCTACATAAGAATGTGTAAATCTCTGAATTCTTAAGTTTGTGTTTTTTTATGGCAGGTACTACTTCTCTGTTTTCTCTGCTCGACTATTGGTTATGCATCAATGGCAATCATTGGATATCTGATGTATGGTTCGGAAGTTGAATCACAAATAACTCTGAACCTTCCAACTGATAAAATATTCTCTAAAATTGCAATCTATACAACGTTGGTTAATCCTCTATCCAAGCACGCGCTGATGTTAGAACCTGTTGTGAATTCTACAGAGAGCTGGTTCCCAAATCTTCACAACAAAAAGCATTTCAAACTTGTGTTAAGGACAAGTTTGGTTGCTACTCAAGTCATTGTAGCATTGGTTGTTCCGTTTTTCGGGTATCTCATGTCTCTAGTAGGAGCATTTTTAAGCATTACTGCATCAATCACACTTCCATGCTTGTGCTATATAAAAATTACAGGCAATTACATGAAAGGTGAAGGATTATTAGTGGTTGCTACTGTTGTATTGAGTGTATTGATAGCAATATTTGGTACTTATACTTCTTTAGTACAAATCATACAAGGAACTGTTGTTGGTTAATTATTTAATATATTGTTAGATTGTTAGATGCTACACATTGAATGAAGGATTTGTTTGTGTAAATGTGCAATATGTTCAACTAATTAATTTGTTTTAGCTTTTGCTGCTTTTAATGCATGATCAATATCATATTGTGAACAAATGTCTTGTTTCATTCATCTTGATTGATAATTTACAAATATCAAATTTCAATTTAATTGAGTAATAGTTAGTTGAAATTTGCAATCATAAGTGAGTTTTAAAAACGAAGAAATTAGTATACAAATTTCCTTATAGCGAGATAAGACTCAAATTACCCTTTTATTGTCCAACTAGCTTATGGTCCCGTGCAATGCACGGATTTACCAAAATTTATAAATATTTTTATTTCAACAACTTTTTTATGATTTTTTTTATAATAAGTATGAAAAAATTTGATATTCTGCTAATTATATTAAAAATTATGCATTTCTTTTTAAATAATATTATTTTGCTTAAATTTTCTATAAGTTGTTACAAAAATATTTTATTGAATTTTGGACGGAAAGATTGCATTTAAGTAGGAAAGAAAATATTATAGTGTATTAAAATTGCCTAAGATAATTTGACAAAAAATGGAAAAAAAAAAATGAAGGAAAATTATTTAACCAGATTTTGCCACGTGCCATTTTTTATTCGCCTTTAGTATATAGTTATTGATTTGGTTTTTGCACATTTTTCAATAGAATAAAATTCACATGACTAATCCCATGATTGGTTGTCTTCCCATATTAATTCAATTATGGGTATTTATATAATAATCCCAATTCCCAACTATTAGGCGTGTATTAAAAAATGTTTCGGTCTGACTTGCAACTGGTTAACTGGTTAAGCAGACAATTTTTTTTTAAAGAAAATTTAATTAACACAAACAATCTTCCAACACTAAGATGTTAATGAGATATCTATGTTATGTTTTTTTGGAAGATTATATTTTGGCAAATATTATCTATTGTATTTTAGTTAACTTCCTAGGATTCTAGTATATCTTTTATTGCTATCATTAGGAAGTGTAACCATTATATATTGACATTACGATCAATGAGAAATTCAAGCGATTCAATTCTAATTCTTCTCTATTTTAGCATGTTATCAAGAGCAGGTTAATTTTTTTTCATCAACAAAAACAATTATGGCCGGCGGTGAGACATCATCTCCGTCCCCTTCACCTATAATTATGGGTAATGCAAAAATTCCTGAAAATTATCTATATCTTCAATTTGATGATACTTGTTGGATTATAGACACCGGAGCCACTCATCATGCTACCGGCACCAAATCTTGGTTATTTGATACCCACAACATTGAATGTCCGGTTGGGTTACCGAATGGCGAGAGTGTACTTGCTACTTTGGAAGGATCCGTTCGTCTTTCAGATCAAATCACCATCAATGGAGTTCTTTTTGTGCCACATTTGACTTGAAATTTAATTTCTGTTTCGCAACTTAGTGATCAATTAAAAGTTGTTGTTCAATTTAATTCATATATGTGTGCTATACAGGGCCAAATGAAGGAGCTAATTGGAACGGGGCTTCGACGAGACGGACTTTATAACTTTAGCAAACCGGATGTGGTGCAACGTGTGTCTATGATCGAAGCAACATCAGATTTAGAGCTATAACATAGAAGAATGGGTCATTGTAGGGAATATTTCAAGAATTACCCCAAACTTGAACCCCACTGTGATCATACACTTAAGTATGGTGGCGTCCAAAGGGAAGGAAGTTAGAGCAAAAGAGTCGCCAACAAGTTTTAGGAACTTGTAAACCGTTCACAGGGTGAAGGTTACACCCCTTAAAGATCCCTGAGATCGTCAACTCTAATAGGTCTGGAACCAAGACTGGAAGTTCGGGGATGAAGGTACAAATCCAATCTAAAAGAGAAAGAACCTGCCCTAATAATAGGCCTCTACTTTATTCTTCTCGTATTCATGTGCGCTTTCTGACTAACATGCAATCAATAGGTTAACCCTAAACTTGTTTAATCTATGTTGGTTGAATATTAATGCACAAATAAATCTATTATTGGCGATCACTTGAATTATAATCAAATTAACCCTAAACAAGATTATTAATTATCTTATTAAACGTGATTAAAAGTACCAATTCCCTTTAAACATGCATAAAAGGCGTGATCAAGCAATAACAATAATAATCATCAAGCAACATAATAATCAATAATAATTATAAATCATAATCATAATTAAAATAATCATAATCATGTTAAAGTATAATAATAGCAAGATCCTAGGAATGGTACTAACAAGATTAATAACAAACCCTAGCTTGTCACTGAACAATAAAAATCAAAGTTTTAGCCTTAACATGATATTAGGAAAGAAGCAGGAAGCATCATAACAATCATACTTGATATTAGAAATTTTAGTTATTACCCTAAACATGATACCAGGAAGATCAAAACACCCTAACATGATACTAGGAATCAATAAAATAATCTAAGCATGATTTCTATATCAAAGCATCAATAAAGCAATTAAAGTACTTACTTGTATACCTCGTATCTCTTTCTAATAACAAAATACACACGCTAGTAACTTCAAGGAAAATAATATAATCAAACAATTAAATTAAATAATTGAAATAGAGATTTGGGACCAAACCCTCAGAAATATCAAACCTTTCACGTCTAGGGCGAAGACAACTTTGAACTTGGCTAAGTGTGTCTAGATCTTGTGAATGCGGTATGGTGTTTTGTAAAAGGCTAGTTTAGAAAAGCTAGAGGGAGAAAGAATAAGCTATATTGCTTAAGAGAGAGAAGAGAAGAATTAGAGAATTCTGGGTAAGAGTTGATGATTAAAAACGAAGATCTAAGGACGCTATTTATAATGAAAATAGTCCGGATTTGATAAAAAAAAGAATCGGAGTTTGAAGAAGAATAAAACACGACGCTGTCGCCACAACAACCCCTAGCGCCGCGCGTCAGGCCTATCGTCCAGCGCTGCAAAACAATTTTTTTGGAATTTGTTTTTATCATATTTTTTGATCCAGAAGTCCAAATAAGGCATATAATATGTCGTTCGAAAGATATTGAAGTCTACTTTCTAACCCAATTATAATCAGATTAAAATATTTTGTAGATAAAAAGATATGGCCGAAATAGTGGAAGGGTGTCAGTTTTGAGTAGAGTTTTGTATTTCTTTCATATCTTAGCTTTTTCGTTAATTATAACTCGGAATTAATATTATAATATATTATTGGAAAGATAATTTCAAGATATATCCAACCATATAAGATTTGAATAAATATTATGAGTCAAGAAAATACAATCTGAATATATTCCATTTCGTAGAAAACAAGGATTCTCAAAAGGAGTAGTTTTATTCAATTTCAAACTCTTTGAAACATAATTAGCAATCCTAACTCCATTAGGATTCAAAAGCAACTTCTAGAGTATTGTAGAAGATATAATCAATCCTAATAGCTTTAGGAATGATAATTAATAATAGGCCCTCCTCTAGATCATTGAACCGTCTGTAAGAACCAAACTGAACCCAATATAGTATTTTGGCCATAACTTCCTCATTATTCATCGGAATTGGGCTTATAATATATCGTTGGAAAGGTATTTTCAAGCCCCATCCAACTACACTATTATTGGACCCATATCATGGACCAAACTAAACTAGAATGCACGTTTTTCATAAATAGGGTAAGAAAAGAAATATTTTTAAAAACAGAAAGAAGAGATATTTTAATAAAAACATCCTCATCACTAGACTTTCCACACTTTCACCTCATTCGATAATCAAATGACATGAAATGTATTCATCACTGGGTTTGATTTTGGGGAGACACATTTGGGTTTCTACAGTCATCCTTCCGAAAGATTGGTAAAGCTACTTCCTCATATTTACAATAATAAAGGTAGCCTAGCTAGCTAAGGGATGTGAGGTTTGTTTTCGTGCTCAACATCCCGAGACAATTTCCCTTTGAGTGAGAATAAATCATCTAGAATTTTCGAGAAAATACATTGTGATTTATGATGTCCGTATAGACAAGTTTCGTCATGTAGAGCTCGTTATTTTTTAACTATTGTTGATGACTTTTCTCGAATAGTTTGGATTTATTTATTAATTGATAAGACAGAGGTTTTTCGGGTGTTTATGGCTTTTGTATCTATGGTTGATAGAAAAATTAATCAAACAATTAAAATTGTGCAAAGTGATAATGAAACCGAGTTTAATTGTTTGCGTAATTATATGTTGCAACCGGTATTTTTTTCCAAACCTCGTGTGTAGGGACTCCTAAAAAAACGGGAGGGTTGAGAGAAAACATAAACACATCCTTAATGTTGCTAGAGCTTAGAGATTTCAAGCCAAATTACCTACTACCTCAGGTCCAAATTACTCGCAACTTTGGAATATTTTATATCTTACAAATAATACCCCAAAGTTGCGAGTAATTTGGACCGGAGGTAGTAATTATTTTTGGGGAGAGTATGTGTTAGCTTCGGCTCATTTGATTAATTGAACTCCTACTCCTATTCTACAAAATAAAACCCCTTTTGAGATTCTTTTCAATAAACAACCCTCATTTGATGCTATTTGAACTTTTGGTTGCTTATGTTTTGCTCACAATCAAAAGACTAGGGGAGACAAGTTTGCTAGTAGAGGTCGTAAATGTGTTTTTATGAGCTATCCGTTTGGTAAAAAGGGATGGAAGCTATTTGACCTTGAAACAAAAGAATTTTTTGTCTCTCGTGATGTAAAATTTACCGAAGATGTGTTCCCTTTTTGTAGTCCGGAAGATGCTAATATTGATCCGAATTTTTTTGATACGGGGGATGATGTTCATATTGACTTTGCAGATTATATTGTGGGTAATGATGATATGGATGTGAATAATGATGAAATTGAGGGTGATTTATTTAATGGAGGAGGGAATGTTGCACCTCATTTACAAGAAGATGTGTGGACAGATTACTCCGCAACCAACATGCAACAAAATGTTGATCACCGTAGGTTGGCTGCGGAGCGTACTGCTCCTGCTACTCAGCCCATGCAGCAGCAAGATACCGGGCAGC